AAAAAAAAAAAAAAGAGCCAAAAAAATGGTACCTACATAAAACAGGAAATTGTACACTCCGTGTAAAAGAAGCATTGTGGGTATTATTATTCTTGCCGCACCCGCGAAGGGGCGTTAAAAAAAAAAAAAGTAGCCCCTATATATAAACATGCGGAATTTATTTTTATTCTACGATTATGCATGCTATATATGTAGGTAACCCCGCGCACAGCATATGGAGCATAAGTTTCACCCCGTTTCAACATTGGCGGGTTTGCTTAATTCTCTTCACTGATCAAATTAAAAAAAATATATTAACAAATAAATAAAATAAAAACTATATGTTCTCTCCGTCCCAATTTATTTATATTATTATTTTTTTTTTCTCCCATTTGTCATTTTTGTCGAGTTTGAAAATTGCGCGAATTATTACCCCGACACTTTTTGTTGCATATGTGAATTTACCGATTTGCTCTCTTTTGCTTATTTGCCCCAATTCAACCTGAACCCAGAAACCCCTTCCACTTAACTCTCCCCCTTTTTTGTTCTTGCGACGAACCTTTTACCCCTTTCCGCTAGGACTCCTACACTGTTCCTATACAGGTTTGTCACTCCATACCACAAAAAACAGTACGCACGTGAATGCAAAAAAAAAAAAAAACAAAAAAAAAACAAATAAATGTTACATGTTACCTGTTACATGAAAAAAGAGAGAACATATATAGATGAAGCATACTAATAATAAAAATGCGTAGTGGTATTCGCGGCGTGGCACATGCTTGAAACCCGACCTGCAGTTGCCCCGTGTTGTAAACCTGTACCAAGTATCATGTTACCTCCGCGCGCATTTGTGCTATTACGTTAATTATTTTATTTTGTATATTCCAGTTTTATTGCGTTTACATATTTTTTTTATGTAAATGTTTTTTTTTATTTTATTTATTTTTTTTTTTTGCCACGTTGTATTTTTTAATCAACCCCCCTCGCCCCCTACTGTACCGCGTCATTTTCTACAAAAACAGAGATTTTTCATTTTTTTGTTTAAAATATGTTACAAAGTTGACATATTTTTTTTTTTTTTTTTTTTAAACCAAATTTAACAAAAAATCCCCTACAAATTCGAGAGTTCACCAATTTTTTATTTTAGTCAATTTTTAGTTCTGTTCAGTTTTAATTTTAATTTTGCTTAACATTTATTTACTTTTAATTTTTACCTAGTTTTTATTTAGTTGTAATAATTTACATTATAAATAAAAAAAAAAGAGTTTTTGCATTTGCCCTTGTTTCTCTAAAATATAAATATAAAATACGAATACGAATTATTTTGTTAAACATTTTTTTTCTCCTTTTCTCTAGGCAGGCTTTTTCACAATTCCTATTTTAAAAAAAAAAAGGAAAAACCAATTTTTTAATATTTTTACAACTTCGTCAAAATGATTGCCAAAGTGTTTCTCTTTTTCATGTTCTTGTTGTTCTCCTCTGCTAGGGCATCGGACGCCCCCAAGAATAATGTAAGGCAAAAAAACACAAAATAAATATAAAAAAAGGAAAACAGAAAAATGAGGATGTTCGGGGTTTGCGCCTTTGTAAAAAAAAAAAAAAAAACGGGGGTTTCAATTATCTGTACGGGGGGATACTTTTTTCCTCTACATATTTTGAAGTACCCTTCGTTGTACCATCAGCCTCAGCCTGTTGGAAAAAAAACTAGTTGAACAAATGGCGCATATACTGCGTAACCGCGTAACTGCGCAACTGCGCTACTGCGCGCTTACCCATTCTGTATTTTTTTTTTTTTTTTTACTAAATATATTTTTTTTTTTTTTGCCCTTTTGCCCCCGTAGGATGGACTCGTGCACGTCATCACGAAGAACATCGACCTGAAACAACTGCAGGGAACCTTTTACGAAATTTCAACCAATGCCTCGGACAAAATATTCCCAGGACTATTATGCAGATGTACCAAGTATGAATTTTCAGGCCTCAAGAGAGATGGCAACTTAGGATACATATTGGTAAACTTCTCCTGTGACAGAAACTACCTCTTCGGTGAACAAAAGTCTGAAATGACCTTCAAATTAATTTTGAACAAGCCAATTGATGAGAACACCACCACCGTTGACGAATTCAACGCTAGCATCTACTTAGTTGAAGGAAACCAACAAGTCCTCCTCAACAATGACGTAAACATTGTGTACGCTGAAGCCAATGAGCAGAATGAGTACGAACACATTATCATCGCAGGAAAGAAATCTACTGAGCCCATGATCATCATCTCTAAATACAGAACCGTCCTCCTAGAAACCTATAACAAATTGTTGAACTCCCTCTTCTTGGCTGGATATGAGCCATCCCTCCTCAGCTGGCCATTCATCATCCAGACCGACCAGACCTTCTGTGACTAAGCAGTTTAATTGTGCGCGAATAACAACAAAAAAATGAAATGACTTCGAGAAAGCAGCACAAAATGGAGGCGCAAAAAGGGAAACATTTGGGGGCCATACTTTTGTGGTCGTCCCCACACGAACGGTACCGTGTACTGAACATGTTAAAGTGAATGTGCGCCTGTTCTTCTCTTTGTACGTCTTGGCTACGGACCGAAAATACATCCCTGTGCATGTATGTCTTCACGTTTCTTAGTGGCATTATAATAGGAAGTTTTTAAAGGAGACTTTTTTTTTTTTTTTTTTT